CATCACAAAAACTAGGGAGATATTGTACACGGCAAACATGTATTAACTTACAGTACAATGACCATAATGCATATCACCGAATCACAGGTCCAACTTTCATTACGGAAGACCTCGAAGTTTCATATTTTGAGCCCAGTTATGATACAGCATTATAGAGCAGGCTGATATGATCGTGCACGGTAGAGTAAGGCTGATACGATCGGGCATGATAGAGTAAGGCTGATACGATTGGGCATGATAGAAGGGTCGCAAAATGACACGGCATTACACGCAGAGTTCAAGTCTATAATAATACTTAAGTCATACAATGGATGATCAAGACAACAAGATAGTATTAGAATTGATGGTACTACTAATAGTACAGGCCAAAGCGAATACAGTACGAGCTACTAGACATGGTCGAGCACACGCGTCAACGTACAAGAAATGGAATTGCGAAGGCGAGACTGGAGCGGTACATACCCAAGATACGCACGGAGAGATTACAATTAATAAAGTCATAAATGAGGGCCGTGGCTACGCACCTATCAATTCAACGCTTGCTTCTAGCCCTAGACTCCGTCGGTGGTGTTGTAGTAGCTGCGGGCGTTTTTGCAGGGATCTTCAATGACAATTTCTCCTTTGTTGGCGCGTGCTTCACAGCGGAGCTCCGAGTCTTCGAGCCATTGTGAGAGGGGCGAGTGGGACTATGCACCATTTGGGACTTGAAGTTGAGCTGCGGCGAGTGGGATGTGACAGAGGATGTTGTGCGAGAAGATGATGGATGGCCAGGTGGACGGGTCGCTGAACTGACAGCCGTTTTTGTCGAGGAAGACGAGGGCTTGTATGAACGGGCAGGCGAGCGCGACGCTGGTGACTGAGGCGCTGATATAGGAAATGCCCGCGCATGGGGCGAGAGATTCAGCACCAAGAAAGTAAGAAAATGGGGAAGACGTACGACCTGTGCTAGACGCTTTGCGGAAACGCGCCGGTACACTAATTGCTGTCTTCGGTGGGCGCTCGAGCTCATCGTCCGACTCGGAGGATTCATCAGCCTCATCAGACTCCGAGTCGTCGGACTTGTCAGACTCATCTTCTTCGTCTGGAACCTCGTCCTCGCCCTCCTCGCTCTCGTGCTCGTCGCTGTCACGACTGCCCTCACTACCCTCTTCATTCTCGTCACTATGGTGTTTGCTGTTGCCCGTATTCTCCTGGGATGGAGATGGATGATGGGGACTCGGGGCGCATGCGTCCTTGGTAGGGTTTGATGGTCTGAGTGTGCGTGTCGGTCGTTTGGGTGCTGCCGGATTCTGGAGTAATTACGAAAATAAATTTAGTAATAATTCAATAAAACATCGGGCAACTCACAGCAGAGACGGACTCTTCATTTAGAGAGTCCTTGGTACGAAGCGGGCCGGAAGGGGCAAGCGAGTTTTTGTCAGGTGCTTCGTCTTGGTTGATGTTGGGGGCCGAGTTTGGATCAGCAGCATCGTGTGGGGAGTTGTTGTCGGTGGTGGGATCGTCCTCGGAACAGTCGGTACTTGCATCTTCCTGATCTTCGAACATCTCGAAATCGCCGCCATGATACGCTTCCACCTCGTCAGTAGTCGTTGCACGGATGCGCTTCCGACCTTTCGGGTGACCAAAGACACTGCTATAGTCATAGACAGTATTAGTAGGCATGCTCAAAAGATAATGGATCTTTACATACGTGTTGAGTGTTCGCAAGAGGCCATTAACAAAGTCCTTGTTACGAAACCGCCAAAGGAACTCGAGGATATTATTATGGGCATCCTCCCAGTCATAGTCGATATCTGGTCCACCCCATTGAGGCTGACCACTCATCGCACACCGAGCCTGAAAATCAATATGAGATGAGACGAAGGTATGATAGCATATACTCACCCCCATTGTGGCATACGCGATGTGCTCGCGTCGCACCTCGTACACCTCCATCAATGAGCAGTTTGAACCGTTTTTGGCTTGGTAGGGAGTTGATAGTTTTGCAGCTTCGGGCCCAAGAAGCATTCGCTTCAAGCACTGCAAAGAATAAGTCATTCTCGGATCAATCTGAGTCTGCCGAGTCAACTTACCCGTATTATCACCGGGTGTAAGAACATTCCTTCTGAAACCTTCTCCTTGTTATATGTACCCGGTTCCCAGACGAGCGTTGGCAACCAAGTAGCTGTGGCCTTGAAGTCGGTGGTACTCTCCCGAAACTGACGGGAAAAACTATGATAAATAAAATTATGCATCAGTAGAATACCGACACGAGGACAGGAGCAAAACGTACTCTGTGGGGTTGGTGTCGAACTCTTCCAGGTAAATTGCCGGGCAGAGTAAACGTGCAAAAACAGGGTGGTTAAAACCCATTTTCTCGCGAGGTGAGCCTTTCCCGACAAACGGGAGAATGGGAACCTCCACGTTGTCAGCAGCATACAGGCAGATGCACTCCCTGAAATGCCCGAAGTCATCATTCCGTGTTTGACCGGCAGTTACTTGCATCTGATGGAGGAGTATTAGTACTTATACACACATGTTATGAAGCTAACATACCTTTCGTATACGTTCTGTGAGCTCGTCAAGCTTGTCCGGTTGCTCGATGAGGCGGTAGATATGGGTGCAGTGCTCTTTGACGAACTCGAAAATCCACAGGTGCCAGTCTTGCCACCCCTTGCTCCTATAAATGTGCATATAGTCAGTAATCGTGTACGACGAGAGGAGAACAAGCCAAATAGACCTTACATTTTCTCCCATTGCTCCTGTAGTTCGGGAGAGATCTCACCAAAAGCATGTGTGCCCTCGAGAGATTTCCAGACCCCAAGTTGAAGAGCTGACTCGATTTCGAGCATGAGGCCACCAGTGCGGGCAAAGACCCGAGAGAGGCGAAGGCACTGGTCGTCAATACTATGAACAAATATATAAGCCAACGGTTGAGGAGGAGATGGTGAGAATACTTACGACAAAGACTTGATATGGCCAACTTTGGCGCGTTTTTTCTTTGTCTTGCGAGGTGCAGACTTGCTCTTGCCAGCCTTTTGAGGCGATTTTGATGGAGGTGGCGAGGGAGGTGGCGACAAAGATGGTTGGCTTTTGCTGGTTCGCCGTTTTTTACGTGGGCGTTCACAGGGGGAATGAGAACGAGTGGTGGGGGTGGAAGAAGATGATTTCCGAGCCATGGGAGGTGATGTCGTGGTGGGAGGGAAAGGTGGGAGGGAAGGGAAGCAAGAACGACGGCTGCGTGACAGTGAAAGAGAAGGCCACGTTCGCTCTTGCTGTGACAAGATAACAATCGAAGCCGAGCTTTGGAATAGTGCACCTACGGTGCTTCGATTTCTAAAAATACAGCCGAATAAGGTGTTCATAGGCTTAATTAAATTTGCATCCGCAGTGAGACTTCGATTGTGGCACACTGAGTATACCCGAGGTACCCGAGGCTGAATATGCACAGCGCTTGTGTCGAGCATTTTGGCTGTCTACGCTTAACTCCCCACATTTTACCTAATGCACCCCGCCATCTGCTTGCTATAATGACAAAAGCATTCAAATGCAAGGGTACTGGATGCGACAGAACGTTCCCCAAGAAGCGAGGGCTTCATGTCCATGAATCTACATGCGAAAAAGTCCGTACAGCACGAGAGGCTCTTTACAGAGCCGCTGCCAGTGCAGAAAACAATGGCTCGCAGAAACGACTGCAGGACGAGCCTGTCATCCTGCAAAAGAGACGAAGAATAGAGCCCTCAATACCAGAGGAGACGTACAGTGTGTTTGTAGAGGATGCCGAAGTAGAAAGTATTCGGGACATAGAGGAGCAACCCATTCAACAGGTACGTGTTTATGCATGCTTCAAACCGAGTCTACCTCACTGTAGACGGGTTTCCTTCCACCAGATATATATATCTAAACGCTCTGGGCGCCCTGTACGTATACCAAAGCGATTTGAAGATCGGTGCCCAAGCAGTTCGACAAATTTAGAGCAGGCACCTTCGTCGACTCCGGAAATGCACAGTCAGACAAGTCCTTCAAGAGCAACACCGCTTTCCGTGCCATCTCACAGGCAGCCTACCCATAATCCCTTGATACCTTTTGTCACCAGCTCTAACGAGTTTGGTCTATATCGAATATACTCAGCTTCACCGACTCAATCCCCTCCCGATACACTCCAAAATGTCTCGGATGCACCTTTGCTCGAATCTGATCCATCTCCCACACGATCCACCAGTCTCAACACGTCTGGAGCACCCATACCCGCAGATTTAGACACGGAAGAAGTCATGGCACCGTTCACAAATCCTACGTGTGGTATCCTGTTCACCTACTTTGAGGGTGGCGAAAAGACCAAGTCGGTGAAGGATGCGAGATGGTTAAAGTCTCTGCTTCAACATCCCTTGTACAGTGATCACGAGCTAGATGCGTATGACCCTGACACTGAAAAGCAACGGCTTAATCGGTTTCTAGACACTGGGGACAACGCTTTTGGGACAGATTATGGGTGGAAAGAATCATCTGTGGAGATCCCACTACCTTTCGAGGGTCGAAAGACCCGTAGAGGCGAGAACGAGGCACCAAAACTCACTGTCAATGGAGTATGGCATCGAAACATCGCTAACATCGTTCAGTCTGCACTAGAGGATCCTATCTTCACAACATACAACACTACACCATTCGAACAGCGATGGAAGACATCTGACAATCGTGATATCCGAGTTTTCTCAGAGCTTTATAGCTCTCAGGCAGTTCTTGATGCGTATGAAGAGATCAACTCGGCTCCAAGAGCTCCTGGAGATAATCTCGAGCGCATTGTAGTGCCACTTATGCTCTGGTCCGATGCAACTCTCCTCGCGAACTTTGGTGAGGCATCGCTGTGGCCAATCTACCTTTTCCTAGGCAACCAGTCTAAATATGTTCGCGGTAAACCAACATCTCAATCCTGTCATCATCTTGCGTACATTCCAAAGGTGAGTAGTTTTGCCACAGCATTTTCACGCGTTGATTAAGCGACTGTATTAGCTCCCAGACGACTGGCAAAACACGTATGCTGGTATCTTTGGCAAACCACCCACTAGAGATGTCCACACCCACCTCAAACGAGAGCTTATACAGGCTATATGGGCGCTGTTGCTTCGTGACAAAGGTTTCAGACGTGCATACAGAGAGGGCATCGTCACAAAGTGTGGAGATGGTATAACACGCCGGGGTTTGATACGGTTTGCTACATATTCTGGTGACTATCCGGAAAAGTGAGTACTTATGAACTTGTGTGTTCGCCTACTGACTAGTACTCATCAGGATTATTCTATGTACCATCAAGTTTCTCGGACAAATGCCCTGTCCGCGCTGCTTTGTATTAAAGGTTAATATTCCGGATATGGGCACAAGAAAAGACATGGAGTGTCGCCAGAATATACGAACCGACACCATGCAGAGGCAGGAGCTTGTGCAGAAGGCTCGTAACAAGATATTCAAGAAAGGTTGTCCAGTTAACTCGAAGAAGATCACATCGCTTTTAGGCAAATATTCTTATGTCCCTACTACAGTATGTTCTCGCTTTCTCACTCTTGCAGTAGTTGTAGGGTATGATACTAATTCACATGTGCTTCAGAACGCGTTCTCTGAGTTTCTGTTCGAAGAGAATGTCAACTATTTTTCCCTCTTCCCAGTTGACCTCCTCCACGAGTTCGAACTGGGGGTTTGGAAAGCAGTACTTATACACTTGGTACGAATGGTTTACTCGCTTGGTGGATCTGCAATCCAAGTTGTGAATGACAGGTATGCTATTTGGTGAACTATATGGTTATCATCTTAATCTAACTTTATACAGGTATCGCAATGTCCCAACGTTTGGCCGAGGAACAATCCGGAGGTTCCATAGAAGTGCATGCGACATGAAACGACTAGCAGCGCGTGACTTTGAGGATCTACTACAGGTACATACATACTTTGAAATCACTCGCCGAGTCGCTCTCACCATCCTTGCAGTGCGCTATGCCTGTATTTGACTCAGTCTTCCCAGATAGAGACCACGGGAAAATCATTCTCGACTTATTATTTGAGTATGCTAACTGGCATGCTCACGCAAAACTACGCCTTCACACCGATGATACACTCGAGCTCTTTGACCAAGCAACCGTCACACTGGGTCAGACTACGCGCAAACTGCAAAAGCTGGTTTGTCCTGCTTACGACACACGCGAGCTCCCTTCAGAAACAGGTGCACGACACCGTAGAGCTGCAAAGCTGCACATCAAAAATGGTAAAAATCCTCAATTACCAGGGAGAGCCCATGCAGTGGACGCCTCACGGGGTGTCAAGCCAAAGCGCTTGAACTTGGAGACTTACAAGTATCACGCTCTCGGAGATCACCCGAACACAATCCGTCAAGTTGGGACAACAGATAACTATACTTCGCAGTTGGTAAGCTATTCTTTCTGTTACTACTCATGCATGAATTAATTGACTCCCATTATTCATAGGGCGAGCAGGAGCACCGCAGGCCAAAAAGACGCTATCCTCACACACCGAAGAAGCACGGTGCCATGATCAAATCACTAACTCGCATTGAAGCTCGGGCTCGATTTCTCAACAAGTTACGCAATTACCTCGAGAAAACAGCCTCGAGTACTTCTGCTGCGGCATCCCAGACCAAAGAAACCTCTTCAAGGAGCGAACCTTCCAGGAGTGACCCTTCAAAACATTACTGGATCTCCAAGGAATCACGGAGTACACAGATATCTGTCCGTGACCTCATGAACACTGTGCACGAGTCCCTTGGTGCAGAAAGATCGGCAAGTCTCTCGTGTTTTATCCCATTTTTGTTTCTATGATATTGACACTCTGATATTGTTACCAGGAGTTCATGTCATGCCTTAAGACTCATGTTCTTGACCGGCTTCGAGAGCAGAATGATATCCCCGACAATCTTGGTCTCCCTCCCTATCATGATCTTGCCGACGTCGACTATAACTCCTTGCAACTTGACTCATTTGTTATTGACAAGGATATCGTCCACGAACACAAGACTGTTCGTGTAAACTACACAACTTATGACCTTCGACGCGAGCAAGATGTGGTGAACCCACGATCAAGAGCAGATATTATGACACTCTCTCAGGAATCGCCAGCCGACAACAACTCGCATCCATACTGGTATGCTCGAGTTGTCTACATATTCCATCTCAATGTTCGTTTTCGGAATGAGGATCCCTCTGCCCTTCGACAAATTGATATCCTGCTTGTACGATGGCTCCAGCGGGATACTAGCCAGCGATGTGGATTTAAAGCTCGACGACTTCCTCGTGTGGCTTTCTATCCCCTCGGATCTTCGCAATGCTGGGATTTCATTGATCCTAGCACTGTGATCCGGAGTGCTCACATAATACCGGTATTCAAGCGTGGTCAAACACCCGGCCCTACAATACCTTCAGCTATTGGCCAACTACACTTTGGATCAGCACGTGTGGAAGATGCAAGCGAGTGGAAGTTTTACTATGTTAACATGTGAGTGGACTACTATTTAGTGCGTCTGGTTCTTGACACTGCTATAGGTTTGTGGATCGCGACATGTTCATGCGATTCCGAGGCGGTGCTGTTGGACATATGCTGCCGCCCGATTGGAACCGCTGTCTTCAAGCTGATGTGGCTGATGTTGAGATGGAATCGGATGACTCCGAGGATGAGCAACCACACTCGGACACTTCGAATGATGGGGGGAGCGAAAGAGACAATGAAGAAGACGAGTGGTATGATGAAGATGAAGAATTAGAGTCTGAAGATGCACCCGAACAGGACCATGACACTTTTGGAGATGGCGAGGCGCCTGGCGAGGACGAGGAACTTATACAGAATGCCGGTTTTGACCCTCTATGAGATATATAGCTTTTGTTATTCACACATGCATGTTATAAACAAATATATTAGCTACATTACTGACTACTAGCTATAGCTAAGAGCGGAATGCGTGCACGCCGATGCATGCACGCCGATGCATGCACACATCGAGTGCATGTCACAGCATGCATGCTGGTTAGCATCAGCCGTGCACTCCAGAGCACACGCAGATGTTTTTGTCGTGCATGGCGGCATCTGGCTGTGCTGGCTCGTGGTGCGGCTACGTATGCTGTGTGCTTTGCACGCATTATGCAGTCGTATGTTTTAGGCGTGGGCTACGCCGCTGGCTGACCTGTGCACAGGCTGGAGAGAAAATATGGCGAGGGCTGACGGATAGTCTGCCTTGCACAGAGCAGATGGCCGACCAGCCCTCGCCCGTTCGTGTCTCTCCGAGCCACAGCAACGAGGCCACCGAGGGACCCACTCAGGTTAATGCGGACTGGGACACTGGCGCCCGCTGCCGGAAG